ATTTTAATACTGGTATTTCTAGAAGATGTCTCAATTACCAAAAGGGAAAAAATGCTGTTTAAATATTTATTGCTATCAGAATAGCCTTTGGTTGTTTTAAATTTTAAAATTGATTATGGGGCTGGAGAGATGGCTCAGCAGTTAGGAACACTGGTTGTTCTTGCAAAAGACCTGCGTTTGAATCCCAGCACCCACATGGCAGCTACCAACTGTCAATAACTCCAGTTCCAGAGTATCCAACAGCCTCTTCTATCCTCCTCGGGCCTTGCGTGACACGGGTGCACTTACCTACATGCAAGCCATAACACGCATACATGTAAAATAAAAATAATAATAAAAAATTAAAAGTTTTAAAAATTATTTAGAAGAATAAATTTTAAAATTGATTATTAAAGGACACATAATATGAACTTGCTGGTATCTAGCACTTTGTGTAAATAAAAATTATAAAAGTTAATTATTGATCTGATCTGCTTTGCATTTTAGTACCATTGGTTTTGTTGCCCTTCTTGTGCTAAGACTTAGTGAGCCGTCTTCTAACAGACTGGGTTTGGGTTTCTGTAGTATTGAATGTTCTGTTTATAATTTAAATATTTATGATGTTTTTTTTAAATAAAATATTTTTAATTATGTGTATATGTGTGTGTCTGCACATGTATGTTTGGGTGCCTGTGGAGGCCAAAAGAAGGCATTGAATTCTCTGGAGCTGAACTTACAAGAGATTGTGAGCTGCCTGATGTAGATGTCAAGAACTGACCTGGGGTCCTCTGGAAGAGTAGCAAGCACTTTTGTCCACTGAGCCATCTCTCCAGCTTCCCAAAATGTACTTTTCTTCTATGCTGTTGTTTGGCCAGTGCTAGTTCCCTTGGTTAAATGTAGATAGCTTAGCCCACCTTTTCATTTTCTGCATATTTGTCGGTGTTGTTTTTGAATAGAGAACAAAGAAAAACTAAATTTCATCTTTTCTTTCTTTTTTTAAACCTTTTTCAAATACTACATTTACCACTGTTAAGGAGTTGATTTATTGGTGGACCAGCCTTTCACACTTGAAATCCTGACGTCTCTAGTAGAGTTAACTCGATTTGAGACACTGACGCCGCGATTTTCAGCTACTGTTCCTCCATGTTGGGTAGAAGTTCAGCAAGAGCAGCAGCAAAGAAGGCACCCTCAGCATTTGCATCAGCAACACCATGGTGATGCTGCTCAGCATACTAGAACTTGGAAACTACAGACTGACAGGTAAAATATTTCTCTATTATACTCTTAAGTATTTGTTAGGAACAACATGGACTTCTTAGCTATATTACTATTTCTTTTATTTTTGGAGTATTAATAAAAACTTTGTTTTTTGCAGTTGTCATTTTGATTTTGGATATTGCTACATTCTTCTTTTAAAAAAATACTTTATTTTTATTTTATGTTTATGAGTGTTTTGCCTGCATGTGTATAGTGTACCCGTGGTGTGCAAAATCTGCAGAGGCCAGAAGAGGGTGTCGATCCTTTAGAACTGGACTTATGGACAGTTGTTAGATGCCATATGGGTGGTGGGAATCAAATCCTGGTCCTCTGGAAGAACAGCAAATATTCTTAAACACTGAGCCATATCTCCATCCCCAACATTCTTATTTTCTGTTGTAGGATAAAATAATGAGAATAACCCATTATTTACTATTTAATTTCTTAGTCTACAAATCACTTTAACAAATAATTGTGTGCAGAAGTAGATTCCCGTAGACACTGGTAGTATGGTTCTACTGAAAGTTATTTCTGTGGGTAGGTATCCTGTGTCATATATACTTCAAAGATATATAAAACTATAATTAGACTAGCCTAGAGTAAGAGAGAGAGAGAGAGAGAGAGAGAGAGAGAGAGAGAGAGAGAGAGAGAGAGAGAAATCTCACCCTTGAGGGGTATATCTTAAGATTTGTAGAGTAAGAAAACCACTGTTTGGGGCTGGAGAGTTGGCTCAGCAATTAAGAGCACTGATTACTCTTGCAGAGGACCCCGGTTCGAGTCCCAGCACCTACACGGTGGCTATGAGCCGTCCTTAGCTCCAGTTCCAGGGGAATCCGAAGCCCTCTTCTGACCTCTGTGGCATTGCACGGCACGGGTACACTCATACATGCAGGCAATATACTCATACACATAAAAAAAAATATTAAAAAAAATAGTCATAATTTAAAAAAAAGAAAACCACTGTTGTTTGAGGGTGGTGAATATAGTAGAAAGTGTCAGGGAATAAGGTCAGATTCCCACATTGGTATTAGACTTTTGAGTACAAGAAAGATGTAATTTATTGTTCAGGAGCACATTACTGGGACTCCCATGTTAAGAATGGATTATAGGTGGTTGTGGTTGTGATGGTGGGACAGTATTAGAAGCAAGGATTTTAGTCTACTTGCTGAGCTGCTGATGCTGTTGGAACATAATGATAGTGATGGAGGTAGTGGAAAGAGTACTTGGATTCTGGACATGATTTGAAGTTAGAGAGGATAGACTTCTGATGTGTTAACATCTGGTGTGAGAAAGTAGAGTTTACACCTAGAGAATAGGTGAGTATAAGTTCTCGAAGAAAACTGAAGGTTCTCAGACCTCACTCATAGATCTAGGGTGGGTCCAGTAGTCTGTGGATAATTTGATATATTATAGAACCCCACTTGGAGGAACAAAGACTTATTGGTATGTAGAAACCTTAAGGTAGACATTTATCCCTAAGGTATATGTAGATCAGTCATTGCCCTAAGTTCCAGTTCTCTCTTGTGAGATACTTATTGCCTTAACTAACCAACCTCCCTCCCTCCCTCCTTCCCTTCCTTCTGTGTGTATGTGTAGTTCAGGTTGACCTCTTAATGTAACCCAGGGTGGCCTTCAGCTCTGGATCCTATTGCCTCAGCATCCTGAGATCTGTGTTTACGGGTGTGTACCACCATACCCAGCTTGAAAACCATTAATATTTATTGGAATATATAAATCAGCAAGTAGGAGATGTGATGCTAATATTATTATAAATGAAGATTTTTGCTTTATTATTTTTTACCTTATTTGACAGCAACAGTTGGGATGAACATGTATTTGAATTGGTTCTGCCTAAAGCCTGTATGGTTGGACATGTGGACTTCAAATTTGTTTTGATCTCAAACATCACCAATATTCCTCAGATACAAGTGACCTTGCTGAAAAACAAAGCTCCTGGCTTAGGGAAAGTCAATGGTAAGAATGGGTGAAAATTAGTATCGGAAGATTCAGTCTTGTGGTTTGGTTTCTTTAAACAGTTGATTTCCAGCTCAACTGTTATGTTTTGATGTCTTCCTGATCCTTGAAGCTATTTGCCTGCTCTAGGCTTTGTCATTTTTATTTTTTATTGTGAAGTCATCAAAAGGACATTTAAGATTTTTCCAGTCACTTAGTAATTTGCAGAATTCATAAACTTGAGTAATTGAATCATGTGTTTTGGGAAGTGAGATTAGTTCCTTTGTGAATTAGTTTTACTTTTATGATTATTAGCTTTATGCTTTTCTTTTCGTGAGAAGATTGAGGGTCAGAAAAGTATTTTGGAAATTATACTTAAAAAATTAGTGAAGTCAGCTTTTCATGTAATTCCAAAGCTATAACTTTTTATTTGTTCTTTTTAAATTTGATACAATGTCTTAAAAATAGATTGTACAACTTTACCATATTAGGAACTAAATGTTACTTCTCAGTTATTTAAAAGACAGAATAAGTTGGGTGTGGTGGCACACACCTTTAATCCCAACACTTGGGAGGCAGAGGCAGGAGGAGCTCAGTGAGATTGAGGCTAGCCTGGTCTACATAGTTCTAGGTCAGCTGAGGTTACAGAGAGAACCTATCTCAACAAGACCTAAAAATAAAAAATAAAAGACTGAGAGTAATTTTGGCTTAATGGCAGCTTAATACTGGGGCGGCGGGGTTGGGGGGGTCCCAGCATTGAAATCTGAAAAATTTCCTTTGTCTGAAATTTCCGTTTGTTTGTATACTTATGTGTGTCTGTGTTTTTGTGTGTATATTCTTTTAAATAATGACGTAATTTAATTGGCTTTTTTTTTTTTTTTTTTTCCCGGTCTTTTTGAGATAGGGTCTCCCTGTAGCCTCAGCTGTCCTGGAACTTACTATGTAGACCAGGCTGGCCTTGAACTCACAGAGATCCACCTGCCTCTGCCTCCTGAGTGCTGGGATTAAAGTTAGTGTGCACCACCACACCCGGCTAGTTGGCTCTAAGATGTAGCCAGCTTGTGTTTTAAAAACTGTAGGTGCTTATACTGTGTAGGTGTTTATACTGTGTAGGTGCTTATACTGTGCAGCTTAGGGAAGAACTTTTAATTTAGTTGTCAACAAGTTACTTCTTCCTTTAAATAATTTGTTACCTTTGTAAGAGGGAAAAATAGATAAAATCGCTTAATTTTCTCCCCTTGACAACCATTTTATATCACCTGTGATGAAAAATCCGGTAGTTCCCAACTTAGCAGAAAGTTTTAGTTTTTAGGCACAAAAATAATTGATATTAAGCTAAATTAAGTTTACTAATATTTTTATCCTCTAGAAACAGCAGTAGATAGGCAGATCACCTTTCCTTTGTCTCCAGCTCTTAACATTGAAGTGGAACAAAATGGGAAACCGTCCCTGGTTGATATGAATGAAGAAATGCAGCACATGGATGTAGAGGAATCACAGTGTGAGTTCACTTATAGAGCCATTGTCCCTGACAGTAAAAGGAGTAGTGATTCAAATGCATCGTGTTGGGCAAAGATTCCTTATGGCTTGCAAAAACTTGGTTTTAAGAATATGATTACAAAATAACCAGCAATTCTGCTTTGGCAATGTGCTTTAACTTTCAGCTTATTCTTGTGAATGCAGCTGCACTAATACTTGGCATTCTTATTTTTTAATACCTTGGGATTTGAAATCACGTCATGGCTCTATAAATCCTTTCTTGAAAATCAAGGTGAAATATAAAATGAGAGTGGAAAACAACACACAACACAACAAATAATTGATTATAATTCCTTAGCATGGCGATGATTTATGCGGACACATTCTAAGGATGGTATTTTGTATGGTGGTATATGTAAATGGGATGGATATGCGTTTATTACTGCATTTCTAATAACATACTTATAGAAAAATGTGTTTTTCTTTTTAGGTCTTAGGTTATGTCCGTTTTTAGAGGATCATAAAGAAGACATTCTGTGTGGCCCAGTTTGGCTTGCTAGTGGCCTTGATCTCTCAGGACATGCTGGGATGTTGACATTAACAAGCCCCAAACTTGTTAAAGGTGAGGTATTGCATCTTACAAGAGATTAAAAATATAAGCATAGTAAAAAGATGCCTTGAAAATTGATGACAGTATGCTGTTTTATTTGAAGCTCTCAAAGTATAATCAGCCTTTTGTGTCTGAGGTTGTTTCCTGTCATAAGTAACTGTAGTTGTGTGAAATTTCCATTCTAGTCCACCCTCCCTCCCCCCATTTAGTTTTGTTTTGGATAGGAACTCATGAAACAGTATCACAGTTTTGTATTTGTAGGAAATAACATGGCACATAGGGTGTGTGCTATCTAGTGAGGTGTGTGGAACATATATGTTCAAGGATAAAGGGAAGTTTTTTAGTACTTCACAACTGTAGCATTCATCCATTAAATTTTTGATATCTTACAATGTGTTTGGCTTCATGTTGGGAAGTAATGGAAAGCAAAAACAAATATATTATTTAGAGTACAAATTAACTTTGTTCAGTGACTGTGAAACTTACATTTTTATAAGAATAATGTTTTGACAGAATGGAAATGTGATTTTTTTTTTTAAATGATTTGCTATTTATTTCACTAAATTTCACCTACAACCCCAGAATCTTTGGAACTGGAAGCAGCAGTTACACAATTTTTGTTGAAGAGTAAAAGTATGAGTTATGAAAAAGACAGTTGTGAAACAGAAGATTTCAGAATGAGAGTCAGGTCAGATATGAGTACGCTGGTGCAGCAGTAAGTAGAGTGTAACAGCATTGGAATTCCTAGGGCTAAAACACAAAATCTAGTGTAATCCAAGGCAGGTAATAAAAAACATGGAAAGGAACAGAGTCAGCTTTTGTAGCCATTCGAAGATTTGGTTTGTTACTAAGTTATTAATTTCAGGATATATTTTTTTGTAAATTTTATTTTTATGTGGATGAGTGTTTTGCATGCGTGTTTGTAAGTGTATCTGTGCATGCAATGCCTGCAGAGCCCAGAAGAAGGTACTGAATCACCAGGAACTGGAGTCACTGATGGTTACTAGCCATTATTTGGGTGCTGGGAACTGAACCCAGGTCCTCTGAAAGAGCAGCCAGTGTTCCAACTGCTGAACCATTTCTCCAGCTCAATTTTAGGATATTTTTGCAATGTATTTTACATTATAGATTGAATCTGTGATCTCATTTTAGTTTAAACAAGTTAAAATGCATTGTGGGGACAGTAACCATTGAATACTGAGTGCCTTTTTGGTGATACACACAATAACAAGAGTTTTCGCTAACTCAGTTGTAGGTATTATTTCATTATACATGTGGAAAAACTGAACCACAAGAAGGTATATGTCATATGTCTGAGAAGAGCAGAGTTATTACCCAGAACCTGATAGTTATCCCAAAGCCTTTTTTGTTTTTCATTAAAACAATATTTGTATTGAGGCATAAAAATATTCCTTGGGTTTTTAAAATATTTTATTATTTTTATTTTATGTGTACGAGTGTATTGACTGCATGTATGTAAGTGTACCCGTGTTGTGCATTGCCCACAAAAGTCAGAAGGTGTCGAAGCTCTTGGAACTGGAGTTACAGTTGTTTGTTAGCTGCCGTGCCGGTGCAGGGACTCCAACCCAGGTCCTCTGCAAGAGCATTTTATGCTGTTAACTGTTGAGCCATCTCTCCAGTCCCTGTTCCTTGGGTTTTTTAACTCTAAATATTTTAATGCTGTGTGTATGTGTGTACATACATTTATTATATGTATGCATGTATAAGAAGGTTAGATAGGGCCTGGAGAGGTGGCACAGCAGTTAAGACTACATGCCGCTTTTGTGGAGGAACTGAGTTTGGTTCCTAGCACTCAAACCAGAAGGCTGACAACTGCCTATCACTCTAGCTCCAGGGATCCCAACATCTGGTCCTGCACTGGAGGGCACTGCTTTCATATGCACAAATCCATATATGTGTGATTAAAAATTGAAGGCTAGAGAGATAACTTAGTGATTAAGAGGACTGACTGCTCTTGCAGAGGACCTGGGTTTGGTTCCTAGCACACACATGGTAGCTAACAACAATATAATTCCTGGTACATGGGTTTCAATGCCCCCTTCATGCCTCCACAAGAATTGCATAACATGGGTGCACTTACATGCTGGCAAAACACTCATACATGTAAAACTGAAAAACCAATTCATCATCATAAGGCTCTCATCATGAAAGCTGTTCAATTATACATTCAAATGATATAAATTGGAAATTCTTGCCTTGTGTAGTTTTCTTTTTGTGGAGTTGCTAATTACCTTGCTCTGTGAAGATGAAAAACAGCTTTTTTTTTTTGGCAATCAGTTTATCTTACTACATCATTTCTCTAGGTATGGCAGGAGGAAAATATCGTTCATTTCTAATCCATGTCAAAGCAGTGAATGAAAGAGGAACAGATGAGCTTTGCAATGGTGGCATCCGTCCTGTTGTAAGACTTCCATCCCTAAAACACCAGAGCAACAAAGGCTACTCTCTTGCATCTCTCTTGGCAAAAGTCGCAGCAGGCAAGGTATGAAACTATAGTTTTGTTTGGTAACAATGCTGTGGCAAATGTCATGGATGAGATTTGACAAGCTCTTGGAAGGTGTATTTCTTTTGGTTCATATTTTACTTCATGCTTGATTTAAAATACATAATCAAGAAGAAAATATTTTATATTAACTTTAGAAAAATAGCGCTTTTTTTTTCGTCTTTTTGAGATAGGGTCTCCCTGTAGCCCCAGCTGTCCTGGAACTCACTATGTAGACCAGGCTGGCCTTGAATTCACAGAGATCCGCCTGCCTCTGCCTCGAGCACTGGGATAAAAGGCGTGCGCTACCATACCCAGCATGAAAAATAGCTTTTATAAAACTGTAGTCACTAGGGAGTAACTTTAGCAGGTACGTCCCTCTGTATTTTTTAGATCACAAGTGTTCTTTAGTAATTTTGTTCCTAGATTCCCTCCATATGTAAAATCAGCTTTTTTTAAAAGCATTTCAAAAAGATGTTTTGCAAAGTAGCTTTACAGATATGTCCTCATCTTAACTCATTTTCTACAAGTATATATATAGGTTAGGTTCTCCACTTTTCAAGGATCTTATCAGATTTAATCCTTCTAATGACTCTGAGTTAGGCAGAGCAGTTGCTTCATATTTCTATTAAAAGTGAGTGAGCCTTATTCATTCTCAAGTAGTACTGTAGCTAGGAGTGGAACTCAAGATTTTGGTTGTATAATCATTGATCCATTGGGCCTTTAAAGTAGGGACTATGACTTTCAATATTTTTCTATTATAATTTCTTTGAAAAATAGTAATTTACCATTTTCTTTTTTCTTTTTCTTTTTTTTTTTTTTTTTTTTTTTTTTTTTTTTTTTTTTTTTGAGAAAGTTTTTTCCTTTTTTCCAGTCCTGGAACACTATGTAGATCAGGCTGGACTTGAACTCACAGAGTGTTGGGATTAAAGGGGTGTGCCACCATGCCTGGCCATTTTCTTTTTTAAAAAAATTTATTTATTTATTTCTTTATTTCTTTATTTTAATGAGTGTATTGCCTGAGTGTATGTGAGTGCACCTGTGTCGTGCAATGCCGAGATAAGAAGGCGGCTTCAGATTCCCCTGGAATTGAAGTCAAGGGACGGTTCGTAGCCGCCATGTGGGTGCTAGGAATCAAACCCGTCTTCTGCAAGAGCAGTCAGTGCTCTTAACCGCTGAGCCATCTCTCCAGCCCGTAATTTACCATTTTCATCTGAGACTTATATTTTGATAATTATAATCCATTTATTTCTAATTTCAGAGTAATTTTTTTTTTGCTTTATTTTGTTTGTTTTTTTTGAGACAGGGTTTCTCTGTAGCCCTAGCTGGCCTGGAACTCAGTATATAGACCAAGCTGGCCTTGAACTCATAGAGATCCACCTGCCTCTGCCTCTCAAGTGCCAGGATTAAAGGTGTGCGCCATCACGCCTGGATCAGAGTAATTTTTTAGTGTCATATATTTGCCTCAACTTCTTTGTATGCTTAGGAAAAGTCATCTAATGTTAAGAATGAAAGTGCAGGAGGTACCCGGAAATCTGAAAATCTTCGGGGCTGTGACTTTCTTCAAGAAGTCTCTGTTACCATTCGAAGATTTAAGAAAACTTCAATTTCTAAGGAAAGGTAACCTTGTTTAATTATTCTGCTATTTTTTTTTTTTTTTTTTTTTTTTTTTTTTTTTTTTTTGTCTTTTTGAGACAGAGTCTCCTGTAGCCCCAGCTGGCCTAGAACTCACTATGTAGACCGGGTTGGCCTTGAACTCATAGAGATCTACCTTCCTCTGCTTCCCAAGCGCTGGGATTAAAGGTGTGCACCACTGTGCCCAGCTAGTCTGCTATTTTCTTTTCTCTGTTGTTTTGAGACAGCCTCAGGTATCCGGAGGCCAGCCTTAAACTCCTGATCTTTTGCCTTGCTTTCCCTGGTGCTGGGATTTTAGGTGTGCCCCACCACATAGGATATTTGTTTATTTATTTGTTTACTTATTTAATGTGTATGGGTATATTGCCTATACGTGTGGAAGCTCACCTGTGTTGTGCAATGCCCACTGAGATCAGAAGTGTGGATCTGATGTTGATCTGGGTGTTGGATCCCCTGGAACTTTAGTTATGGATATTTGTTTGCTGCCATGTGGGTCCTGGGAATCGAACCTGGGTCCTCTGTAAGAACAGCCAGTGCTCTTAACTGCTGAGATGGCTGTCCAGCCCCTACTTCATTTTTTTATCCTTGCTATCCATACAGTGTGTATTATATGCCAGAAATAGGTGAGAAAAGAAAGAAGCATGATTTGTGGCAATACTTACTCTGTTAGATCACATTATTGTAGCTTATTTTCTTTTCAGACATCCTGCATATACCATTTTAAAAGGATGATTGGCCCTTTTAAGTTAATTGATTTTTGCTTTAAACCTAAGGCCTTGAACATGTTGGTCAACTGCTTTACTACTGAAAATCCCAGCCCTAAGGCCTTTGTTTGTTTATGATTTTTATTTTTAAAATTTTTTAAAATGTTTTTATTTATGTGGATGAATGTTTTGCCTGCCTGCCTGTATGTATGTGTAACATGTGTGTCTAGCGCTTGCAGATGCCAGAAGAAGGTGATGATGAATTCTCTAGAGTAGGTATTACAGGTGGTTGGGAGCCATCTACCTTGTGGTCACTGAGAACTAAACTTGGGTCCTATGTAAGAGTAGCTAGTGCTCTTAACTGTTGAGCTATCCCTCCAGCTCTGACATCCATGATTTTTTTTTTTTTTTTTTTTTGAGACAGGGTCTCCCTGTAGTCCCAGCTGACCTGAACTCACTATGTAGATCAGGCTGGCCTTGAACTCACAGAGATCCACCTACCTCTGCCTCCCGAGTGCTGGGACTAAAGGCATGTGCCACCATGCCCTGCTGACATTCATGCTTTTTTAAAGAGCCACTCCATAACCCAGCAGTTGCATAGCCTTCTTAGCCTATTTGTTATATTTTCATTGGTAATGTTATTCATGTTTTCTGTTTTAGGGTTCAGCGTTGTGCCATGTTACAGTTTTCAGAATTCCATGAGAAGCTTCTTAACACTCTTTGCAGAAGAGCAGATGATGGCCAAATCACAGAACATGCTCAGAGTCTTGTGTTGGATACTCTCTGTTGGTTAGCTGGAGTACATTCAAATGGACCCGGAAGGTTGGTAATTAGGATTTTGCTTGCCAGTGATGGATTGTCCTGTGGCTGTTATGAGTCAGAGTTCAAAATAATTAATGTTTTTCTACTATTGTTTTGCAGCTCAAAGGAAGGAAATGAGAGCCTACTTTCAAAAACGCGAAAATGTCTTTCAGATATTGTACGTGTTTGCTTCTTTGAGGCAGGACGAAGCATAGCCCATAAATGTGCTCGATTTCTGGCCTTGTGCATTAGGTTGGTGTGTTTTTAAATTGAAAATATACTTTGTAGATATACTTTCAGTTTGGTGGCTGGTACCTTGTCTGTCATGTCAACAAGTGTTAATCACTTTAAAGGAAGAATATTGGGTTCTTACAGCAAAATGCCATATTAAGTAAGTTTGGTAAGAGGAGCCCTTCACTTACTTTCACTGTCTGATTGTCAACCACCTTATTTCCTCTCATATAAATCTTGCTGTGCCTTCTAATATAGTACAGTTCATTTTCTGTTTATCTTGAAAAGTAACTGCCTAGCAAATATTTAAGAGTATTAGCCTTCCTTAGCCTTTAGTAGTGGAAGATTTAAGTATTATGCCAAGTTTAGTGTTGAATTTAAGTCATAAATAATATCTTTAAATTTGTTTCTTTGTTTTTTTAAACAACTTTCCAGTAATGGCAAATGTGACCCATGTCAACCCGGATTTGGATCTGTTCTATTGAAGGCTTTACTTGACAATATGTCCTTTTTACCAGCAGCAGCAACTGGTGGTAAGTAAAATTGCTTCAGTAATAAAAACTATATACATAGTGATTAACTTAATAATTATTTTGTTCTTTATCCTAATTTTCTCCGTGGTTTATCTGATTATTAATATACTTTTGTGCTTGTGTGTATGTGTACAATGTTTGTTGATATGCAGGTGCACCTATATGTACAGTACATTTGGAGGCCAGGGCTACCTCAGATGTCATTTTTCATAAATGCTTGTTTGCCTTATTTTGGAGTCAGGGTCTCACATTGGACTAGATCTGCTTGTTAGGGTAGAATAGGTGGGTGACAATCTCCAGGGATTCTCCTGTCCACCTCACTGGTGTACCACCACACTTTTTTTTTTTAAAGTGTATTCCAGCTCAAATGTGGGTCCTTTTGCTTGGAAGTTAAGTACTATACTGATTTAGTCATATAATCACACCCATATTTTGTTTTAGGGATTAATAACTTGTAGTTTGTTCTCTATATACTTTTTGTTTAATAATATTACTAGGAGAGGCTGGTAAGATGATCCCAGTAGGTGAGGGTACTTGCTGCTGGGCCTGATAATCTGAATTTGATCCCTAGGATCCATATGGTGGAGTGAGGGAATAGACTCCTATGGGTTTTCCTCTAACTGCTACATGTCCCCAAAAACAGCACAGACACTAATTTCTAAACATGCTGTGGCATAGGTGCCCTCAGACATACACATGTGGACATATACACAATATATACACATACAATTTTTTACAAATAGGTATTACCAAGACTAGATAAGAGGTGTAGTGAACAGTAGGCCACCTCAACACTTTTTTTTTAGTCCAACATTAATGAATTGTTTGATTGTTTATTGGCCCAACATTTGAGGTCACAGACTGCAGTGTTAGAAAGTGCTATGGAAAATAAGACATGAGGTTGCCATTAAATGTTCATATTTTATGTGATTGGTAGTGATCATGGCAGACTGAGTTGACTTAAAGGGACCAGTGAAGAACCTGTCGAAATGCCTTTCAAGAATAAGCTTACTAAGCTGGGTGTGGTGGCACATGCCTTTAATCCTAGCACTTGGGAGACAGAGGCAGGTGGATATCTGTGAGTTCAAGGCCAGCCCGGTCTACATAGCAAATTCTAGGCCAGCTGAGGCTACAAGGAGACCCTGTCTCAAAACACAGCCCCCTCAAATTAAATTAAATTAAATTTAAAATGTAATAAATTATTTTTTTTATGTGTATGTGTATATTGCCTACATGTAGGTAAGTGCACCCATGTTGTGCAGTGCCTTTGGAGGTTCCTCTGGGACTGGAGTGACAGTTGTTAGCTGCCATGTGGGTGCTGGAATTTGAACCTGGGTCTTCTGCGAGAGCAACCAGTGTTCTTAACTGCTGAGCCATCTCTCCAGCCCCCCCGAAGTGTGTGTGTGTGTGTGTGTGTGTGTGTATGTATATATATATTTTTTTAAAAGAATAAATGTAATCCCATAGGGATTTGCAAAGCTATCCCGAGTGAGTGTGTGTGTGTGTGTGTGTGTACACCCATGACATGCTACAATGCATGTGTGGAGGTTAGAGGACAATTTAACCATATCAGTTCTGGTGATTGAACTCAGATCGATTATCAGGCTTGATTGCAAATGCCCTTACCTCCTGAACCTTCTCATCTGCCCTGAATTTTTTTTTTTTTGAGATAGGATTTCACTATGTAGCCCTGACCTACCTAGATCTCACAGAGATCTGCCTGCCTCTACTGGGATTGAGTCAAGCATCCCCACACCCTGCCAGCTCTGAAGTTCTTGATTTAGGACTTCTCTTCAGGGCATTGTTTATATTCTTAGTGTTCTCTTTGTTCTTCTTTGTAAATTGTCCTGAAAGATTGCCTTTCCACAGCTATACTCAAACATATTTAACATGACGTTCTCTTTGTTAGAGGAAAAGGAATCATTGTGTTGCTCTTTCTAGGTTCTGTCTATTGGTATTTTGTCCTGCTGAATTACGTGAAGGATGAAGACTTGGCTGGGTGCAGTACAGCTTGTGCAGCTCTACTCACTGCAGTGTCCAGACAGCTGCAGGACAGGTTGACACCACTGGAGGCTCTCCTTCAAACAAGGTGTTTTAACATATTAAATTACCAACAGTGGGCCTTTCTGGGTACGATACCCTTTGCACGGAATTGTTACTTAATATGTATGCCTAAAATATTCCTTTTCTTTGAAAAGTATGTTCAACTTGTGCCTTGCCTTTCTCTTAAGACTAACGCATCTCCCCACGCTTTCTCTGAAATTAATTCCCTTCAGCCTTTGACGACATTCTATAGGTGCTTATTCAGAGAGCTAATTGTTCTTTATGCTTAAACATATGCTTTACTAATGAAAAAAATCAGTTAATACAAACTTAATTTTATGATGTTATATGTGTAATTATGTAAGTCTGTCGTCATGGTTACTTGGGATTCCTTCATCTTCTAGTTGAATTTTAAAAACCTCAGAATAGAGAAATAACAAGTTGGATTTTTTTTTTTCCTCCCTTGGTCTTTAACTTTTAAAGCAGCATATTCCTTTATTTAGAATACCACTTTTCTAATATTTTTGTTTAGAACTCTTTGGGTTTGAGGAAATTTTCAAAGTGTCTCTGCTCTCTCTTGTCATTGGAGTGATTGTAAGGGAGAAAGAAATATTTGGTGTATTGTTTTTTCCTCCCTACATCTTGGGCTGCAGATAATAGTCTTGTTACATTGGCTGCCAGCTCATTAAAATTGTGTTTGTTGAATCTCTGGACAGTACCATTTGAATATACATTTCCTTGGGGTTTGCTGAATTTGCTGCCTTTTTCAGTCAGACTTCCTTTAGAAGTAAATATAGATAATTTCTTAATTAAATGGCTGTCAAAAATTGTTAATACATTCTTTCATTTCTCAGATATGGATTATATAGCTCACCGTTTGATCCTGTCCTTTTTGATTTGGAAATGAGTGGCTCTTCTTGTAAAAATGTATACAACAGCAGCATTGGTGTCCAGTCAGATGAAATTGATTTATCAGATGTCCTTTCAGGTACTGGCCGCTTTCATTAAAGGGATTTCTAAATAGTCTGTACAGAGTTTAAGCTAGTACCTGGCTTTATTGTAGTTACTGAATTTTTGTCTTTAGAACACTGAACACTTTTAAGAATTTAACCATAACATCTATGAACCATTAAAGTGTTTGGCTTAATTTTCCACGCCCGGCTTAATTTCTTAATTCCTTGTACAAAACAAAAACAAAAGAGGCTGTACATGCATAATCTGAAATTCCAAAAGTCAGAAATTCTTTGAAACCTGTAGCTTTTGAGCTGTCATTTTAGTGGTCAAAAGTTTCAAAATTTTGAGTAGTTCAGAAGTCTAGATTAAAGGTCCTTTATAGTAAAGTTTAAAAATATTAAAAGATGGGGCTGGAGAGATGGCTCAGTGATTAAGAGCACTTGACTGCCGTTGCAGAGAGAGGACCCAGATTCAATTCCCAGGACCGACATGGCAGCCAACAACCATTTGGAACTTCATTAGTTCCAGGGGATCCAATGCCCTTTTCTGACCTCCAGGGGCTTTGCATGACATGGGTACATTTATGTACCTGCAGGCAAAACACCCATACACCTAAAAATTAAATAAGTAAATAAATTTTAACAAATTCTCAAAAACAGCTTATAGCCCCTAGAATCTTAGGTGATGTTCAATTTGTATTCTACTCTTGTCTTTGAAAGAGTTTTCAGTTTGTTTTCTGTTTTCATTGCAATTGCTCAATACAGTTTTTCTGCTCAAAAGACTTTAAAAATTGAAACGTTGTAACCTTTTAAATTTTACTTGCTATACCTCTGTTGTCTCAACAAAACAGAATGTGTTATATTAAAAAATGTCAATTGATATAAATAAACAGGATACAGAAAATGTAATTTCTTATAATTACGACTCTTCTAATATAAGCTCTGTATACATTACACAGATCCTACATATGTCTTAAGAATCTGTTAGGATTGTATGTTTAACAGTGTGTAAAAGCCTTCTTATAAAAAGCTAGACTTTGATACTTATTTTCATTAGATTGAGTATTTGCACCCACTGCACCTGCTGTTAGCAGAACAAAATACTAGTTTCTTTGGAAAAAATTTTGATACAATTACCCCATTAAATATAAGTAAATTTTAAAATATTTTATTTTATTTTTTTTTATGTGTGTATTTCGCCTGCATGTAAGTACTCCACATGTATGCAATGCCCGTAGAGGCCAAAAGAGGGTATCAGATCCCTTGGAACTGGAGTTACAGATGGTTGTTAACCTCCTTATGGATGCTGGGAACCAAACCTGGGTCCTCTGCAAGAGCAGTCAGTGCTCTTAACTGCTGAGCTATCTCCCACACCCCATAAATAGATTTTTAGAGTAAGTCTCAGTTTGGTTGCACATTAAATAATGAATTGTAAATAGCAAGAAAATAGGAAAATCAATGAATTGTAAAAAGCAAGAAAATAGGAAAATCAAATATAAATAAATGTAAATCAAATGTAAACTGACTCATCTGAAGCCTTTCTGCCTTCTTAAGTTATCACTGGTAATTGGATATTTACCTATAGTTTTGTCTACTATACATAGTCATTCAGATTTTTCATGAAATAAATCATACTACATGTAGAGTCTCCCTACCTCTCTTTCTCTCTCTCTCTTTTTTTTACATTGGCATAATATGTGTCTTTTTAGTGAATTACATTGCCTTGAGTATGTATGTTTTCACCTGTACTTGTATGTCCCTGTCGCCACATTCTTCATTCTCTATCCAAGTAACAATTAGGCCATTGCAATTTGTCATTGGGTCTTCTATAGGATGTGCTGGTTATTATGATGTATATGTTATTGGTTATCCCATAGAAAAGCATGAGATCCCATGTGTAAGAATATAAGGGGATGCCCTAAGGCTCAGGCTGTGCTCTGAAGCATTAAGTTTGCAATACAAACTATGCTTAGTGAGGAGTACTCAGAAGAGGAGACAGGAAGAAATCCTAGCTCCTCATGAAAGCCTCATCTTCTTCCTCTACATTAATCTTACAGCATTCTTTTTCTCAGTGTTACTTGTGGCATAGGCAGATGTCATGCTTGATTCTTCTTTAAAAAAATTTTTATTATTTTTATTTTATGTGTATGAGTGTATTGCCTGCATGTAGGTGGGCAACTGTGTCATGCAGTGCCTATAAAAGTCAGAAGAAGATGTCAGATCCCCTGAAACTGGTTACAGATGGTTGTTAGCAGCCATGTTATATTTTATTTATTAATTTTATTTTACATGTATGAGTCTTTTGCCTGCATGTATGTAAGAGCACCACATGCTTGCAGTGCCTGCAAAGACCAGAAGAGGGTGTGGGATCCTCCAGAACTGGAGTTACGCACAGTCGTGTGGGTGCTGGGAGTGGAACCTGGCTCCTCTGCAAGAACAGCCAGTGCTCTTAACTGCTGAGCTGTCTCTCCAGCCCCTTGATTCCTTTCTTATCCCCTATGGTGAGCCTATAACCAGCTAATTCCTGTTTTCCACCAATGTGTATTTCATTTCTGTTCATCATCCTATCTGTCTTGGGGGAGTGATTTCACTCACAGTCATCCTGAACTTGTAGTCTGTTTTTGCTGTATTTAACACATTCTCTACACTGAAATGAGTAAAATCTTTTAAAAAATGTAAATCTAATCAATTAACTTCTCTCCTTAAAATACTTTTCATGTCTTTGGATTGCTCTGATGTTTAATCTACAACATCATATAAAATGTTATATATATTTTGTGTCTCTCTGATTTATTATCTAATCTTCCATCATTGTCCCTTCTAATCTCTGTTCTTTAGTCCAGTGGTTCTCAGTGTATGACCCATTGACCCTCAAAGAGTCAGACCACTGGCACAGGAATGTTACTTGCCTTTTATACCTCATTGACATTTGAACTGATTAAAACGTTTTCTTTACTATGTACTTGAAGTAAAAACTTTGATTTATGAATTTGCTTGATATAGCAGTAGAAATCACTGTTACAATTTGAACCCTTAATTACATGTCTGTTATATATGATGAAATGGGAAATATTCCTGGAGTCTCACCTTATACATCGAAGTACCATTGTTGCTTGAGGGAAGTAGTCTAGTTGAGATTAGAAACTGAACTACTTCATAGAACAACATTTTCATTTACAAGAATGGCTGATAGATAAAATTTTCTTGTTCAGACTTGGGTTAAATGGCAAATATTTTCTTTTAAAAAAATGAATAAAGTAAGCTGTCATTTTGAGAGAAATTGATAATACTGGCAGCCATGTTAGGTGGCACACGCCTTTAATCCCAGCACTTGGGAGGCAGAGACAGACTTGATTTCTGTGAGTTCAAGGTCAACCTGGTCTACATAGTGAGTTCCAGGACAGCTGGGTCTACAGGAAGATCCTGTCTCAAAAATAAAAATAAAAATAAATAAATAAAAAAAAGTACAGCTTTTTAAGCTGGGTATGGTGGCGTACGCCTTTAATCTCAGCACTCTTGGGAGGTAGAGGCCAGGGAATCCCTGAGTTCCAGGCCAGCTGTGAGTTCCAGGCCAGCTGATGCTACTGGGAGACCCTGTCTCAAAAAGAGAGAGAGAGAAAAAAAAATTATGTTCTTCACAGTGAGTTAAATTGACAAGTTTTCAATTATTTTCTAGTTTTGTATAATGCCTTAGCATTTGGAATAGTTTTGTTTAGTGGCCAGCGTGATGACTCACACATTTTGCCATTTTACATGGGTAAAAACTGTTTTAAAAATACATGGTGGTGCATGCCTTTAATCCCAGCACTTGGGAGGCAGAGGCAGGCTGGTCTCTTTGAGTTCAAGGCCAGCCTGGCCCACATAGTGAGTTCCAGGTCAGCTGGGGCTACAGGGAGACCCTGTCTCAAAAAGACAAACAAAAAAAACCCCATGATAATCCAAATGATCTTAATGTAACTGGAGTTTCAGAAGTTCATGACTAAATTTCAGATGCTACATTGTAGTTAATCCTCCATGAGCTCCTACTAGTCAGCCTTTGAATGTGCAACACTATTAATATATTCCATTTCCATCCACATATTGGTGTTGGACTAGATTGTTTTCTCCGATGTCTAGCAAACAATGTGGTGGAGTACATTGAATGCAAAGGTAGATAAGAAAATCCAGCTACTGTGCAGTGAGATAGCAACTAGGTAAAACATTGACATGTTTCTCCTTCAATTATTTTAGAAAACTAATCTTTTTAGTTGAATATGTGCTGTGTCCTTCAATAGCAAATGGATCTATTATTAAATGAATCATCTTTATAACATTTTATCTCAATTCATTATATAAATATCAATTTAACGAATGTTTTAAAGATATGTGGAGGATATTAGGATTAAGAACTAGTCCTTAATCCACTAGTCCAGGTGTGGTGGTGTATGCCTAGCACTCAGGAGGCAGAAGCAGATGGAGCTCTATATTTGAGGCCAGCCACGGTTTGCATAGCAAGTTCCAGGGCCACCCAGAGCTTCTCAGTGACACTGTCTCAGAAAAACAACCAAAAGAACCTATTCCTCTGCCATAGTCCTGCAAGTGTATTATGTTTCTTCCAGTTGTATAGATTTTCATTCATGTTCCTCCAGTTTAGGTTCTCCCATCCAAAGGGTAACATAATTACATCTTTGAATGGATTCTACTTAAAGTAATACTGTCTTACATTTATACAATTGACATCATAGAATGGATTCTTTTATTACGCATATTTAACAGAGTACATAATGACTACTGTCAGCTGATTTTATGTTTTTCTGTGTTTAAACTAAATCATTTTTATTGATAGGAAATTGCAGTGTTTATAAAAAAAAATACCCTTAATGTTTTATATTGCTGTGAATTGCTACCAACTTGCTTTCATTGAGTTCTTTTGTATCAAGAAAACTGTTGTCTCATTTTATGACTTTAATATTCTGCTCTTTGTTGAAGCACTGTATAAGGTTTGCAGTTGTGTGCTAATTGAAATTGGTGTACCAGCTTTAATTATTGATATTACATGCCTTGTATTACTGTCTTCTTGCATTATGAAATTTTTTTTTTCTTTACTAGGCAATGGAAAGGTCAGCAGTTGCACAGCTGCTGAGGGTAGTTTCACATCTCTCACTGGGCTTTTAGAAGTGGAACCCCTGCACTTCACTTGCGTGTCAACTAGTGATGGAACCAGAATAGAAAGGGATGATGCAAGTACGTTTACTGGTATATATACCTTTTATTATATTCTTTATGCAGTAATAAACAAAAATGATATGTAAGTATTTAAATACCAGTTTAATGTTAAGTATCAAAACTATGGGAGGGATATTAGGAAGGAAACCATAAATGGTTTTATATCCATAGTCAATTCATAGGGTTTTTCCCTGTTACCCACTAGAGTACTTTTGTGAATCCTTTTGTTTTTATGTTGCATGCATTTATAGAAATTTTCTGTCATAAGACATCAACTAGTATGGAAACAGAAGGAAAAGTAAAGTAGATTCCATTTTTCTGTATCTCATCCTCAGCATTCAGATGATGGTCTGTTTTTGTATAATTTTGATATTATGATGCTACTTAATACATTTAAAATTAGCAGTAAGGTTTGATAGAGTTGTACATGCCTGTAGTCCAAGTAGTTGGGATACTGAATCCAGCCTGGACTGTATAGTAAGAGCTTTTCTTTAAAAAAAAAAAAAAGTATACTGGGGCTGGAGAGATGATGGCTCAGTGGTTAAGAACGCTGACTGGTCTTGCAGGGGACCAGGGTTAGTTCCTAGCACCCACATGGTGGCTAACAACTGTACATAACTCCTGTTCCAGGGCATCCGATGCCCTCTTCTGACCTCCTTAGGCACTGCACAACATAGTACATTTACATGCAGACAATATACTCATACACATAAAATAAAAATAATAAGTAAAAGAAGCTTTCAATTTCTTAAAAAGTATACGTAGTAATGCCTTTGACAAGGTTTAGATGACTAAATAGGAAACACTATTTGAGTTTGGTAAGTATGGGATCGCATTTATGCTTTGTATAAATAGCTTCACTTAGAAAGTAAATCTGTCAGTTTTACAAATGTTTATTTTCTCTCTGTGCTCACCTCCCCCCAATTTTAGGATTAATGTATATTCATAATTCTATTTTTGTACAGATAATTCAGAATATTTGGATTTGGATTTAAGTGTATATATAGTTCATTCATAGAAGGATTTGATTCATGTCTTTTTTTTTTTTGGTCTTTTTGAGACAGGGTCTCCCTGTAGCCCCAGCTGTCCTGGAACTCACTATGTAGACCAGGCTGGCCTTGAACTCACAGAGAGATCTGCCTGCCTCTGCCTTCCAAGCATTGAGATTAAAGGTGTGTGCCATCACGCTGGGCTGATTCATGTCTTGAACTGATTTTGGTGGGTAACTTAAGCAGTTTCCTTTTTTGTCTCTTCATTAATTTGACAGGCTTAGGGTATATATAACTCGGTGGTGGAGCACTTGCCTAGTGTACTCAAGAACCTGGATTCGGTTCCCAGTCCTGCCAAAGAAGCAGAAACAAAAACCAGCAATAAAACAGTTTCTAGGAGAAGTCATAGAAGTTTTAAATCCTGAATTTGGCAATAGAAGGGATAGTGCTTTAAAAAAATTCATAGGTCAGGTGCTGGGGCACATGCCTTTAATCCCAGCACTTGGGAGGCAGAGTTCAAGGCCATCCTGGTCTACATAGTGAGTTCTAGAACAGCTGAGGCTACAAGGAGACCCTGTCTCAATAAAGACAAACAAACAAAAAAATTCATAGGTGTTCATTTTAGTGCCTTTTCCTTTAAAATTGCATTGTACCTTTTGATTGTGGAAGTACTCACTTAAGGGAACGTCTTAAGTTTATGCGGTGAGGATGACATGTTCCCAACACCCACATGGCTGCCAACAGCCACCTGTAATTCCAGTTCCAGGGGATCAGACACCCTCTTCTGACTTGGGTGACACTTAAATGCAGGTGAAACACACATACACATAAAATAGAAATAAATAAATTTTTAAAAAATGTTAAATCTTTAAGAAAAAAAGATTCTAGTAAGGTTAAAATTACTTTTGTTTTCGCCGGGTGTGGTGGCACACGCCTTTAATCCCAGCACTTGGGAGGCAGAGGCAGGCAGATCTCTGTGAGTTTAAGGCCAGCCTGGTCTACATAGTGAGTTCCAGGACAGCTGGGGCTACAGGGAAACCCTGTCTCAAAAAGACCGAAAAAAAAAAAAAAATTTACTTTGTTTTCTTTGGACTATTGTCATTTCATAAAACTTCCAGAAAATTCACACTTTATAAATCATACTATCTTCCTGGAACTGTCATATGAGATTTTAATAGTAAGAAAATTTGTGTTTAAATTGGTAATACTTTGAAGTATTGAATTAGTAATGCTTTGAAGAGGTTAAAATGTTTAAAGATAAATATTAGATCTGAAAAACTATTTATTTATTTATTTATTTATTTATTTATTTATTTATTTATTTATTTATTTATTTATTTATTTTGCTTTTTTGAGACAGTGTCTCCCTGTAGCCTCAGCTGACCTATATCTCACAAGACAGCCTGGCCTTGAACCCATAGAGATCTGCCTACCCCTGTCTCCTGAGTGCTGGGACTAAAGGTGTGCGCCACCATGCCCGGCTGAAAAACTATTCTTTATATCTCCTGCCCATCCTTCCTCATATTACGCAAGCAATGGAACTATTATTTTGTTTTGTTTTCCTTTCCTTTCAAAGGCAGTCTCTGTATATGCTCTTTATTGTTCGGAAACCCAGATCTTGATAGACAGTACCAATTGCCTCAGTTCCCCCACTTCTCAGAATTTATGAGCAAGTAACTTCTTTCACTTTTAGTTTCATTGTCTATAAATGAGATTATAATAGGGTCTGATTGACATAATAATATAGCAATTACTGTTTTGCCTAATTAATACTTAGTAAAGTTTCAAATGGTTTGAGTTTCTGCAAATTTCCTGCTCTTATATTGGCTCTCAAAGGTCTTGGTCACAGTTCCAGTTCTACCACTGTTAGCTTCCCATAGTACTTTGTGTCATTTTTTATTTAATCAACTAAACAGTGGAATCATGGCCACTGACCCCTTGTAATTATAATCTGATGAATGTGGTAATTCTTTTAAAAGATTGTCATTTAGTAATGTATACAAAGTATACGCTATTGCTATATTAGTTATCCTAAGTATTAAAATATTAATAGTTTATTATGTTTGACTCCTAGTTTATACTGACTTGTTAGAATCAGTTGTGAAATTAAGTTTTTAAATCTCAGCTTATTTCAAAATGTTTTTCATTAATATTAAGTTGAAAAAGAGTTCATTTATAATGCATAGTGGAATACCATTGAAAAATAAAGTCAGATTTCTTGAGTCGGGTTTTCTAGAGCTTTTATTGTGAAAATGCTAATGATTAAGCAGTTTGAGCTGGATTAGACTATAGTAGGGGCATACTTTTCTCCATTTGAGTGTTGTAATGTTCTTTTATCTGAAAGTATGGATTTTTATAGTGTTATAATTTTATCTGAAAGTATGGATTTGTATATTCTGTGTAGGCCTTTCCTCTGTCTAGACTTAGGTTTAAAATAAGGAAATCTCGTGCCTGAAGAGATGGCTCAGTGGTTAAGAGCACTGGCTGCTCTTGCACAGGCCCCAAGTTCAGTTCCCAATACCCACATTGCAGGTTACAGCCTTTTTTAACTCCAGTTGCAGGGTATCTGATGTTCTCCTCTGACCTCTTGTAGCATGACACATGGGTGCTTGCATATACATCTATGCAGGCAAAACAGATTTTAAAAAATCTTTTAAAAAAGTTAAGGAGATTGCTTAAGTAATATTCTTTTTTCTGGTTTTTTTGAGACAGGGTCTCCCTGTAGACCCAGCGACTTGCTATGTAGACCAGGCTGGCCTCGAACTCACAGAGATCTGCTTGCCTCTGCCTCCCAGGTACTTGAATTAAAGGAGTGTGCCATCATGCTTGGCTTTTAGTTATATTTTTAAAATTAAAGATGTTTCTTGGGGGAGCTTTTATGATGGTGTAGAAAGGGAACTGAGTAAGAAAACAAGGTAAATTTATTTCTTATGCTCAGATCATATAAGATTATGCTCATTTTTTTTTATTGATGTTAAAATTAAATTTCTTTTTTTTTTTTTTTTTTTTTTTTTTTTTTTTTTTTCTGTTTATTCTAGGCTAGCCTCAAGCTCTAGAACTCACTATGTAGACCAGGCTGGCCTTGAATTCACAGAGATCAGCCTGCCTCTGCCTCCTGAGTGCTGGGATTAAAGGTGTGCGCCACCACGCCCCGCTAAATTTCTTTTTTTAAAAAAATATTTTATTTGGGCTGGAGAGATGGCTCAGCAGTTAAGAACATTGGTTGTTCTTACAGAAGACCCTGGTTCAAATCCCAGCACCCACATGGCAGCTGTCTGTAACTCCGGTTCCAGGGGATTGGATGGCCTCTTCTGTCCTCCGTGGGCATTGCCTGACACGGGTGCACTTACCTACATGCAGGCAGTACACGCATATACATAAAAAAATTTTAATTTGTTATTTTTTTTTTTTTACTTTTTATGTGTATGCATGTATTGCCTGCATGTAGGTAAATGCACCCGTGTCGTGCAGTGCCCGAGGAGGACAGAAGAGACCATTGGATCCCCTGGAACTGGAATTACAGACAGTTGTTAGTTGCCATGTGGGTGCTGGGATTTGAACTCAGGTCTTCTGCAAGAACAGTCCGTGTTCTTAACTGCTGAGCCATCTCTCCAGCTCCTAAATTTCTTCTGTACCCAAAATACCTATAACTAAAAAGTAAACTGTGACTAAAAAGTCACAGTAGAAATTGACTCATTCCTTTTTGGTTTGGAGGTTGCTCCAGGATCCTTGCAGAGCTTGAATACTAGTATTATTATCACTTTATTTTTGCCATTAAAATGCCTCTGTGTATGTATGTGTGTACATATGCATATATATGTAGACACACACAGACACACACATATACATACACACGCACTAGCACACACACACACACCCCGAGATAGATACCTGTGATTGAACATAGGCCCTTGAGCCTGCCAAGCAAGGGCCCTACCACTGAGCCACATGCCCATCTCCTTTTTTTTTCCAGTTGAAAATTGAGCGTAGCTTGATATACTGTGACTGTGTTTCTCCGTGATCCTTTTCTTCATCCTGGTGTCTTTGTTTTGTTTTTCCCTTGTCTTATGCCAGTGAGTTCCTTTGGGGTTACTCCTGCAGTAGGTGGACTATCATCTGGGACAGTTGGGGAAGCCTCGACAGCCCTGAGTTCAGCAGCCCAGGTAGCTTTGCAGTCTCTCTCTCATGCAATGGCTTCAGCCGAGCAACAGCTACAGGTGCTGCAAGAGAAACAGCAGCAGCTTTTGAAGCTTCAGCAACAGGTTGGAGACTATTTGGCTCTTTGTTCATGCTGTCTCTAAACTTCAAAAGCTGAAAAGTACTGTAAAAATGACCATTATTTTCATAAAGGAAAGTAGGTTGTCCGATCTGAACTAATCGTTTTCAACAAAAAAATTGAGGTAAAGTCTTTGATACCTTTAAATTTATTACAATTATTTAGATACATTTTATTTGATACCCAGTCAAGGGAAAATGATACTTTTTTTGCAGTAGAAGTGAATTTCTTCTGTTTAAACATTCTTGATGAAATATTGTAAAGTTACCAGTTTTCATGGAACAAAGAATATGGGACATCAGATTACAGCAATAATGATTCAGGATTTAGAGATTTCATTGCATCTAAATGCAGCCTGTGGTAATTCCAGTTGAGAAATTATATCAGGTTGTTCAACACGTGAATCAAGTTTCTATTCATTTTTGGTCTTGAGCAGAACTTGGTTTCATTATTTACATTGAATTGTTCTGCTTGCTTTTCATCTTTTGAGAAATTCCTAGTTCCCTAACATATAGGAAATTTTATATATTAAGTATTTAAAGGAGGTATACATAAGCGAGGCTGTATTCCATTTATATTGAGTTCAGTTTTGATAGATTGTTGTTATATAAGTAGGATCTAGTTAATCTTATGTAACTTTATAAAATATACCCATAGAATATTCTTCACAACATAGACAGGCAGGATTTGTCTATAAGTGTTGCTTTGACTTCTTTTACAGAAAGCAAAACTGGAAGCCAAGCTACATCAGACAACAGCTGCAGCAGCTGCAGCAGCATCAGCAGCATCAGCAGTAGGTCCTGTTCACAACTCTGTGCCTTCCAACCCAGTGGCTGCCCCCGGATTCTTCATCCACCCATCCGATGTTATTCCACCCACTCCAAAAACAACACCACTTTTTATGACTCCACCACTTACTCCGCCCAATGAAGCAGTTTCCGTTGTGATCAATGCCGAACTTGCACAGCTTTTTCCAGGCTCAGTCATTGATCCCCCAGCAGTCAATCTTGCTGCACATAACAAAAATTCCACCAAGTCCAGAATGGTAAATGATGTTTTAAATAAATGTTGGCTTGGAAAATTTTTAATATTTAAAAAAAAATTTAACTCTGGAAGGCTTACTATATCAATAAGCACCTCAAGTCATTTTTATTTTATGAAGTATTACAGAATATAACTCAGGAAATGAGGTTTGTTCATATTATGATGAGTAGTGTTCATAGAGCAAGAATAATATCAACAGAAAGTCAAATTGTTGTCTTTTCTAGAATCCACTTGGTTCTGGTCTGGCCCTTGCAATTTCTCATGCTTCACATTTTCTTCAGCCTCCGCCTCACCAGTCCATTATTATAGAGCGAATGCATTCAGGTAATCTTTGAGTTTCTAAAAGTACTTTTCTTGCCTATTCTATTGGCCCTTTTATGACTTACTGTAAATAAATTTCATTTGCTATTGGGTAAGTACATTCTACCAAGAACAAAAACCGCAGAAGTTTCAAGTTGTATGCTTACCAAATTGAATAGAGTGCTTTTAAGCTGGTTGGCTAATTCTGTTGAAAGTAGTCTTCAGCTGTGTCTAAATCTTGTCTGGTAAGGTATGAATATGAAAATAATCTGCTCTCTTTATAGTTGCTCAGTTGCCATCACACTAGAAATTATACTTTAAGGCAGTATTCTTTTTTTTTTTTAATTATTTATTATTTTTCTTTTATGTGTATGGGACTTGCTAACAGAATATATTGCCTGCATGTATGTGAGTGCACCGGTGTGGTGCAGTGCCATGGAGGTCAGAAGAGGGCTTCGCATTCTCCTGGAACTGGAGTTAAGGACGGTTTGTAGCCGCCATGTGGGTGCGAGGAATCGAACCTGGGTCCTCTACAAGAGTAGTCAGTGCTCTTAACTACTGAGCCATCTTTCAAGCCCAAGGCAGTATTCATAAAACTAGCTTTACTATAATGAAATCATATTTTGAGACTTGCTAACAGAATTGCTTATCATAATAACTAAGATTAATTACATGTAATGGTCTCTGGATTGCTTATACATGTATATTTTTAAAATCTTTTATTTTTTTAATTTTTATTTTATGTGTATGCGTGAATTGCCTGCATGTACATAAGTGCACCTGTGTTGTGCAGTGCCCACAGAGGACAGAGGAGGCTGTCTGATCCCTTGGGACTGTAGTTACAGACAGTTGTTAGCTGCCATGTGGGCACTGGGATTCAAACCCGGGTCTTCTGCAAGAACAACCAGTGTTCTTAACTGCTGATCCATCTCTCCAGCCCCATTGGTTGCTTAAATTTTTTATCTACATTTGTCTCATGCCAGTTGTCCAGAGACCTCTGATTGAGGTGGTTGCATGCATATTTATGAATGAACTATAGATATTTTTTAGCTTATAATTCTACCCATATTAGTTCTGTGCTATGGCAGCAGCAGAATTTAAAACAAAAATCCCCAGGGTAAACATCGATATACTGTATACAGCAGGGCTTTTCATTATATTAACAATTAAGCCATATTTGCTTTACACAAAAAAGATCTTCCTTGTTGGAAGAGTCTGAAGCTCATAAAAGTCTCACAGTATTTTCACTCCACGTAATTATTAATTGATAATGCCTTTAGTGCTTACAACATCCAGAATGAAAATTTGTTGCTCTCTATTCTTAGATGTGACAGTTGCTTACACTATAGTTTGGTTTTTCACCATTAATGTGATTGCACCACAAAAGTCCTATGAGGAGAAATACTGTGTTTAATTATTTAGGAAAGTATTGGGAACTGCCTTGTTTTCTTCTAACATAGGTCTGTCAAAAACAGTGTTCCTAGAATTTTTAGGGTTTTTTCCTTCTGTATTTTGTAGCTGATAGGGACTGTTAAGCTGCCCTTCACACCAATGCAATGACATTATTATTTACTTTCCATTTAACTAATGGAACTTGTCCTTGTGTGGTAGATGAGAACAGAGGTGCAAATCTGCTGTTTTCTTCCTGCTCTGGTGCTGAGCTGACAGGGCTGTGCCCATTCTGCAGGAAACAAAATGAGCTGTTTTCCTTGGAGGATCCTCTTGAAGCATTTTTGAAAGTTTTAGTCACACTTTTACTTTACATATTAAATCCAGTACATTATGCAGCTCCCCCAAAAGTTGAACAAGACTTTTAAAAATGAAGTTACATAATACTCCTTGGTATCTCTGTCTAGCTATAAAATGAAGAAATGTTCAGTGTGTGTAAATGAATGGATAATTGCTAATTCATTTCATAGCAACAGCCTTACTCTTAAATTTTGACCTTATTTTTGTGGTTCAAAACTATCAGATTTGTACATATAGATTAACTTAAATGGTACATTGACTGATTTAATTTCTAAAGCTATAATGTTTGCAGTGTAACTTGTGGGTGTGGCTAATTGCCTTCATAGCAACAGTCTTACTCTTAAATTTTGACTTTTGAGGTTCAAAACTATAGTAGATTTTTTGGGTTCAAGCCCAGAGTCTTGGCATACTAAGTCATCAGAAAACTTATGAAGAAAAATTGACAATACTATTTTTACTTATTCACTACCTTTCTATTTAAAGAAGAATGCTATAATCTGGTTTTGAGTATATCATTTGGCTTTTTTTTTGTTGTTGTTCACTTCTCTTTCATTCATAAGGAGCCAGGAGATTTGTGACGCTGGATTTTGGAAGACCTATACTGTTGACAGATGTATTGATTCCTACTTGTGGAGACTTGGCCTCCTTGTCAATTGACATATGGACATTAGGAGAAGAGGTGGATGGAAGACGATTGGTAGTGGCAACTGATATAAGCACCCATTCACTGATTCTTCATGACTTAATACCACCACCTGTATGTAGATTCATGAAGGTAAAGAAAGACCTTTAAGAAAGTACATGTTTCCTATATTTCTCAAAAATACAGACATAGAATTAAAGAGTATAAATGTATTTTTTAAAATATATTGATCAGATATTTTTATTGTATCTCATGTGTATGCATATGAAATAATGAAATTTTTCATTTCAGATAACTGTTATTGGACGTTATGGAAGTACAAATGCCAGAGCAAAAATCCCTTTAGGATTTTACTATGGTCATACCTATATCTTGCCTTGGGAAAGTGAACTGAAGTTAATGCATGATCCTCTAAGAGGAGAAGGAGAGTCTGCCAACCAGCCAGAAATTGACCAGCACTTAGCAATGATGGTTGCTCTACAAGAAGATATCCAATGCAGGTCAGTGGGAAATTGCACATATACTTTATTTGTACTCAAGAGTTGCAGTTTATATAATGTCTTATATTTCTACCAAGGAATGTTTTCTATAACTAAATGGAAAAGACCAAAAGAAGGTTGAACATGAGCATACTATAGTAGTACTTAATACATGAAAATATTTTGAGTAAGTTATTAGTACCATTTATTAGTACTTATCAAAAGTAAATTTTGGGGTTTTTTTGGAGTAATCACCTTACTTTGTAGTCCTGACTGGCCTGGAATTCTTTGTTGATCAGTCTGTCCTTGAACTCACAAAGATCTGCTTGTCTCTAACTTCAGAGTGCTAGGAATAAAGATGTGTGCCACCTTGCCTGGCCCAGCAGTAATTTTTTTTAAAAATTGTATTTTAAAATATTGTAAGAGGTGTAATTCCTAGTGTGTAGATGTAAGAGCAAAACTGAAGGAGTTACTTTTTATCTTTTCCTCATAGATATAACTTAGCTTGTCATCGCCTAGAAGCTCTTTTGCAAAGTATTGATCTTCCTCCTCTCAACAGTGCGAACAATGCACAGTACTTTTTGCGAAAACCAGACAAAGCAGTAGAGGAAGACGGTAGAGTTTTTTCTGCTTATCAGGATTGTATTCAACTACAGCTTCAACTAAATTTGGCTCATAACGCAGTGCAGAGGCTCAAAGTAGCTGTAGGTGCAAGTCGGAAGACATTGAGTGAAACATCAGATCCAGAAGATTTAATTCAGACGTCGTCCACGGAGCAGTTACGCACCATCATAAGATACTTACTGGACACATTGCTCAGCCTTCTTCACTCTTCCAATGGTTAGTATTTGGCTTGTTAGTTTAGAGACTGGGAATGTATGCAGTGTTTTTTTTTTGTTGTTGTTCTTTTTTTGGGGTGCATGTTTTGAAAACAGTGGTAATGCTTTCTGGGATTTCCTTTTGTTCCTCTGTGTGTGTAGTAATGGGGGTTAAATGAGGCTTCATACATGTCAGGCAAGTGCTTTACCACTGTCCTAGATCCCTGGATTCTACTTTCTAGATACCGTTAGTGTGATATCTATGTAATGTCTTTATGAAATTTCTGTAGATTCACTCATTTATTTTCTCCTTAAATTTTTTTTTCTTGCCATGTTGTGGATCGAACCTAGGAGGTTGGGATATAGTA